ATTTATAAAAAAATATGAAATATAATTATTATTTAATTAATGAATAAACTTATTTTATTATTTTATAAATAATTAATAATAAATATATTCTGAGATGCTGAAAAATTGTTTAAAACAAGATCTAATTTTTTAAATAAAATCTAGTTTAAAATAAATCATAATTAGTTTATAAATTAATTATTATTTTGTGTAATTTTAAAAAAAAATAAGACAAAATTTTTATATAAATTGTCATAATTTATTAAAAATATATAAGCTATTTATAAAAAGATATTAAGATTTATCAGTACGATAATCAATGTTAATATTATTATATATATATATATATTGAAGTTAATATTTTTTTTCATGTGTTCTAAAATATGTCTCCAATGCCCTCTTTAGTCATTAAAATCTAACTACAACTTCTCAATAAGAGCCTCTCTATAATATTCTTTTTCTCTTTCTATTCTTGGTCTTTTCCACTCCCTCTCATTACGGCGCACGCTGCATGAGAATTGGAAAGAGGAATTGTAGTGGGAGTATGCGACAAACAACAAGGCTTTCGCGGATTAATATCAGCTCTACTTTGCTGTGTTAATATTAAATCCAACAAAAGATTTTTTTCTGTGTAAATGATAATATATGAATATTATAATACAATATACCATACACACGAAAAATTATAGCGTATGCCGCGTGCACTGAATCTCTCGATTGTCCCAGTGTGTCGTCGACTGTACGTTGGACGTCACAACAGGTAGTTGAGCGAGGGCAGCGTGCTCCAGCCTGTAGAAAGAAAGGAAAAGACCAGAAGAGCGAGCGAGAGATCGATATATTGGCACGATTGTGTTGGAAGAAGAAAACATGTCAGTGGTAGGGGAACAGTGGGAGAAGTAAAGGAGGAAGGTGACCGTGTAGAATATACTAGAAAGGGAGAAAAATAGGATAGTAACAGGGAGGAGTTTCACTGTGTCGGATACCTGCACATCGTGCCTGTGCACAACTGCTCGTACACAGCTTTAAGTTTACATGTATGAGACGGGTTACTCACGCGTTCCCTTTGCTCCTTATCTACTTTGCAGACTATGTCTCTTTCTTTCTCTCATACCTTCCTATTTAGGGGGAAATGAAATACAGCGTTTCCCCTGTCTAACGTCTGGCCACGTTTCCGTAGTCTGCCGTTAAATCTTTTTTAAAAATAATGTATATAATTCTTAGAAATTATTTTATATCATATAAACATATTTAAGAAATTTTTGATAATATTTATGTACTTATATTTAAATATTCCTTTTTAAATATGACTTTTTTAAATAATCATATAAATAAAAAGAAAGATTCTTATATGAATTTTTTATTAAATTATAATAATATTGAATTTTTTGAATAACAAAAAAATATATGTATATATGTACATATGTATAAATGTATATTGAATATATAGAATTATATTTAATAAATAAATTGAAATAATTTTAACATTTTAATAAATTTATAGACAATATATATAATTGCTAAATTATAATTATAGATATAGATAAAATTTATTTTAGCTAAAAGATTACAAATTATAAAAAAGTTACTTTTAAGCAGCTTCAAGTGTTGCCATCTTTCGTTTATTTAACGTAATGAAAATATCTATTCTAATCGATAAATCATGGAACTATTTCGTGAATTTTTAAATAACATTTTTATAAATTGATTATATATGTTTCAATTATTTATATATTTATTATGTATTATATGTATTATATTGTAATAATAATCTAACCTCTATAAATATAACATAACCTCTAAATGTAAATTATAAATTAATTGTCGTGATACATGAGTCAAGATTCATTATCAATAAACCCTTTTTAAATAAAAATTTTAATAAAATAAAGTAATATCAATTTTGTATTATTACTTTGCGTGTATTATTTAATGTCATATTAGAAAGTTAAAGTATTCTTTAAAAAAATAAGATTTTAATTCATAATAATTAAATAATAAATAATTCCATCATTATTTTTTGTTTAAAAATATTTTAAAAAATCATTTTAATTTTAAAAAATAATGGATTTATTAAGTGCAAAGAATAGTAGAATTCCTTTTATATCAGGAACAAAACCTTCATTAAAAAATTCACAACTACTTGTTTCATGTGGAATTCCTTCTTTAGATTATATAATAGGTTTGAATATAATTTTTTGAATTTATAAGTAAACAATTTTAATTATAACTTTTTTATTATATTATTATATATTGTTTTAGGTGGTGGATTACCTATTGGTTCTTTATTTCTTATTGGTTCGTAATAAATATATAAAACTTATAAGAATTAATGTATAAATAATATATATTAAATATATATAATTTTTATTTTTAGAGGAAGATCGATATGGTACATATGCAAAAGTTATGTTACAATATTTTATGGCTGAAGGTGTAGTTACTGCACAACCATTATTAATTGGATCTAAAGATATTAAAACATCTCATCTTGTGTCAGAGATGCCAGCTGTTATAACAGATACTAAATCAAATGATGAACCTTCTAATTCTGATGAACAAATGAAAATTGCTTGGAGATATCAAAATATGAAAGCAATTGATCCTTCTCCAATTGGAGGACAATTTTTTGGTCATTTTTATGATCTTACAAAAACAATGGAAAAAGAAGTAATTGAAAAAGCAGATATAACACAGTGGTACGATGATAGTTGCCCTATAAAAGACAAAATTTTTAACAATTCAACATATACAAATTTATTAAAATGTATTCAAGAGACTTTGAAGAAAGGACAATACTCAATTTTAGAAACCCCTGAAAAAAGACAAGTTTTAAGAATTGCAATTCATTCATTAGGATCTAGATTATGGTGGAGTGATTCTGAAGATGAATCGCATCAAGATTTGTTAAAATTTTTATATTATTTTAGAGCAATTTTAAGATATTCTTATGCAGTTGGTGTGATAACAGTACCTACAGAATATTTTGACAAATCTGTATGTTTTATATTATATTATATATTATATATTATATATTATATATTAAACTTTCGTATAATTTTGATATAAATTGAAAAATATTGATTATTTTATTTTTAGGATACTATTGTGCAACAAGTTGAACATTTATCGGATATTGCAATTAGATTAGAATCATTTGCAGGCTCACAAAAGGAAACGAATCCACTTTTTAAAGATTATCATGGTTTACTACATCTTCAAAAGATGCTTACTTTAAATACCATAGCACCACATAATCCAGATTCACGAGATCTTGCATTTAAATTACGCCGTAAAAAATTTGTTATTGAAGTAAATAGCTATATAAATATTATTGAATTAATGTTTATTAATATACTATGTATGTAATTTTTCTTGCTAATTTTTACTGTAGGTATTACATTTACCACCTGAATTAGGAGATACTACTCAACGGGAACAAGATGAAACAGTACCCCAATTTGGATGTTCGAGTCAATCAAATAAGAATTTAGATTTTTAAAAAAATATGATGTACATTTAAGAAAATTTTATTTTTTATGTAATTTATTAAATCTTAAATTACATATTTTTAAAATAATATTAAAAGTATCTTATTTCTTTTTTTACTTTTCTTTTGAAATTTATCTAAAAATAAAAATTAGTAGTAATATCTTACAGGTGAACGTCATATGTATTATTTGAATCAGAACTGCATACTATATCGCGTGAATTAATGTAGACGAGAGGAGATAGGCTTCGTGAACACACAATAATACATATAACACGCCTACCTGCTTTATACAGATATTATTTACATTTTATAAATATTAAAAATACTAAACAAGATTATTTAAAGCTATTTGTTTAAATTTTATTCTATGACAATGTCATTTAATTTCAATAGAAAAAAAAAAAATAGAAATATTCAAATTTCTGGTCGATATTTTAATTTTTTATTATACATCATTTAAACTGACTTCAATATTCTTAAAAATAGAATGAATAATCCTAAAAATGGAATGAAATGAAATAGATATTTCAAAAAACTCTGATTAATATTATTTATAAAATTATATATAATCATAATTAAATATTAGTTAATTTATGATAAATTAATTTTTCTTATAAATCGAATGTATATTGAAAATTTTTACGTGAACGAAAATAAATAAATCGAGTATTACTCATCCATGACGATTACGCCGATTAGCTGTTAACTTCCCCTTCGATGATTCGTATAAACTTCGACATGCATCTGTTATATCTGTAACAATTGCATAAATACATACATACATATGAACATTTCATCCCCTCTTATGTGCTTTTTTTTGTTTCGTGCCTTTCTATTTCCTTCCGGTTCCATCCGGTCGGTCGCGCATGAGGGCACGTAACGCAAGCGCACCTACAGATTCGTACCTAGTATTCGTACGGCACTGTAAACCATCTATCACGCGGTAGCTTTTCAG